TCAGCATGACTATATCGAAGTAAGAAAAAGGTTCGGTCAAATGATTCACGGTATTAAAGCTTGTACATGTGTGTATATAAATGCAGTGTTATGGCATTTGTTTATCCGGACTCAAAAGTATCATTAATCTGACGTTTCTGAATTCTCATAACGCATGACCGGCGGAGAACCCATAGACTTTTGTTTCGAGCCTACAAAGGAGGAAAAGAAGTAGATGTAAAATAGCCAATATCGTCGTTGGGACTCCATGTAGCATGTGGTAAGTCTCCCAACACTAATATAATTGTTTGAAACGAGATAACACAAGTTTAATCAAGAGTACGTGCTCTGTATAAATATAAATATCTGACTGCGACGGGAGAAATGGGGAGATATCTTTAGTTTTAACACAGATAAATTCCACATTGGCAGACCCGGAAAACGTCATAAGGATCAGGAAGGAACACATCCGCACCATTGTTGTACACCCTTTTCCTTCTTAAATCTTGAAAATCTTGAGAGCCTGGCAAGTTATTAAGTTTCGTGTTGAGACCACGGACATTCTGGTAAAGGACAGTAGGCTTATCAGTTAGTTTCATGAAACCTCCTCTGAAGGGTCACGTCTTATAGGCAGAGTTTTACTTTTTGTGTATAGAAAATTCTTTAACGAGGGCGCCCTCAGCGCAGAAAGGCGAGCTAGAATTTGGCACAGGGATATTTCTCTAGGCTGATCGTGATTAAACTTAAAAATTCCGACTTTCTTCAACTCAGCGTCGGGCAAATTTTGTCCTTATGTACTTTAATACCATATTCCCCGTTATGGTCCATGCAAACCCAGAAATGAATAGTGCTTTGTGCGCAGAAATGACAACCAGATGGTCCATTACCTACTAGCAAGTGAAACATGACCACTCAGTTTAAACTGACCTGCGATCGGCTACGATAGACTTAGAGTCATCAATGTTACTGGAATAACTGGCCACAGCCGCAAGCAAACTCAACGTCATTACCTCATCAGTAGGGCATCGTTAATGGTGTACATAGCATTGAAAATAAAATAAATATTGAAAAAACTATTATCTAACTCTTTTTTATTGATTTATTTATTCTACTTATACATGAAACTCAACCAAAACAAATTGGCAGTCGAGTTCAATTTATTCTTAAAGTATATCCTATATTAATTAATATTAATACTTAGCATAAATATAATAAAACAAATAAAAAATAAACTTATATTACATCTGTTCGAGAGCCATAAGAATGAGTATGTGCAGTTTACCGATAAGTCGGAACTAGCTGTCGACAAGTTTCGTCGAAAGTATTCAGCAAACAGATTTGAGATTTCGAAATCATCCGAGGAATCAGAGCCATTAAAAGAAACATGCGAGGGATGCGTGGAAATTTTTCTTTTTCAGGTAACAAATTTTAAAAGGTATTTAGCATTAGCAAACAGCCTACAGAACAAATAAGAAAAATTTTGAGTCTAACGACGTTAATCTTTGATCATTTTGTTTTTGTGCAAATATTATAACAAGCTCGCACTACTGAAATAACTATGAAGAACTAATATAGCTATGCTGGCACCTGAAAAATTATAAGCTTTGTGCTACAAGTTGCAAAAAATAAATGAAAAATCGTATCCTAAGATGTTATCACGATCAATTCGCAATGGAGAGAAGAGCAAGTTTGCTCCATAGACCATTCTCTAAGCTCGCTGTAATCGATGGGGTTGGTGAGTCTGAAGCCGTGTCTAAACACGGGCGACGGATGTCGTAAATTAAGAGTTTGAGTAGTTGTTTGAAGGTATATAACCGTTTCCATACCAACAAAACTTTTGTACGGTAAAAAGGCCTAGTTTTGAATTTTTAGCATTTCTTAATGAAGACTCGTTCATAATAATAATATGACGTAAAAATTAAACCTGCCGAGTTTGGAACATGTAGGCTTATTTTTGGTTCCCATCCAACATAAGAGCTTAAGGAGAGTTGATATGACAGCATTTAAAGAACTCAAGAAGAATTGGGGTTAAAAAACTCGTAACTATATTTGTATTGCCTTCGTTTTACGTCGGCGAATCGATAATGCCACTTATTAACTAAATTAAAGAGGAAACATCAAACATCTACATTTCTGAAGTGGTGGTTTGGCTAATAAATGCAACCAATTTTCATAAGGAGGCAAAGGAACCAGCGGGTTTCAACGCAAATTCCCAGCGGCAAATGGCAGTTATTGCTTTTAAACGGATTCCATTGAACCTACATAGCACCTATAAGAAAAAGACCATACAACAGAGGCATGCTCAATATTATGCTCAATAGTATAATTTTTTGGTATGTAAGGATCGTTAAATTTTTTGGACCACAGCTTATTAAAACGTAGCTCGTTATTTAACAAACCTTCTATCAGATAGATCCGTAAAAATCTATGATTTCTAATTTTTGTGAATCAGTCAAATACTCAGTAATGAAGGAATTCCTCCTTGAAAACGCTTCTTGCATTTTTTTTAGATTCAATTTCATCTATTTTGATTAGCACCAAGTAATCGAATTATCCAAGTCAGATTGAGATATGAGCGTGATTCCAAGAAAGATATGTAATGTATGGTTTCTAATTTAGCAATTTTCGTTTGCTAAGAATGCGTCTCTGCATGACCGAAATTGTTAAATTCATGCACCCAGAGAGACTGTTTTCACATAGCTTTAATGTTTCCGTTTCGCCGTAGGTTCGATGCCCAGGGAATTGACTTCTGTCAAGGTTACAAAACCTTTCAGTAATAAAAAGCCTAAAATGACCTTAAATATTCTGCCAACTAATATGCTGCCAACATCTGCCTCGAAAAGAAGTACCGATAAATCATCTACAAGAGCGCTTTGTCAGGAAAAGTTCTATTTCTATTATAACAACTATTTTCATGTATAGGATAGGATAGACGGCTCGGTTGGCAACAGTGTTTCTAGTTTCTCGATGGGAGAAAGCGTCAGAAATATTTTGTAATATTCGCTAATAAGATATCTGCCTTACACCCGAATTACTCTACAGGCTTATGAGTGGCTGCCCTTATCCCAAAATCCATACGAAAGTGATCAGTTGCTAATCGGTTGACTTAAGTCATACTAGCTGTTCTTACTGCATATAACTAAAAATGGTTACGATTTCTCACTCATGTGGCCTTCTTTGGCCTAGTCCATGTAAACTCCATATCCAAAAAAATGCCGATCGCTTAGCTCGTGTATATCGCTACTACTGGGGCTTTTGCTTTTTAACTAATTACGATCATAAGAAAAAGTCCTACAGATCGCTGTAGGCTCGGAAAACTTTTATTATTTTTAATCCTGATATATCTTGGACAAACTTTGGAATTTGAACTTCTCGCAGAATATACATTTGCAACAATAGGTATTTATTGAGAAAAATTGGGACAATATATATATTAACCAAATGATTTTCCATCATCTTCTAAAATTTTTCCTATATTGCTGTCAGCATGGACCGCGTTAGAAAAACGATATTGATTTGGCAGCGATCGAACCATCATCGAACCATTTTCGCGCTTCTTCAGCATTTCAAACCAAACCATGTTCCATCGATCCGCACCAGCGGTAATCAGCGCTATGTCTGGCGACTACACTGAATGTGGTAGAACTTCTAATTCGAGCTCCAATACGGTATTCTTGACAACTCTTGCATCATGTGAACCAGCGCGATCACGCGGGATAAAAAAATAGTCGAAAATAACGGAAAATTGCAAAATAGACGAATTTAAAAGACGCTAAATAGAAAAGTTTCCGGCATTTTAAGCGTAGTCTTCCGCTTTTCCAAATTGCATTTCGATTCATACTGAATGGCTGGAACAAACCGAATGACAAAAAAGCTAAAGAACTATTAATGTGTAACTTTTCTTAATTGAGAATTATAGTTACTAAATAAATTACCTGTTATATGTATTAGACTTTTATGTGATGCTGTCGTATTCACTCCTTTAAAAACTTGTTTAACAGATCCGACTAATAAGATGTTTTCTTCGTTTCATATGTCATTAAGTATGTTATATACCCTGAAAACGAACAAAAAATTGGACGCTTATAAGTCAAACAGAGAGTCAAACAGAGAGTGAAGGTGTTCAATACAAAGCAATCGAGAAAATATGGAAGCCTTAAAGTAAAAGAAGAAAGACCATTCGACTTACATTGAAAGATAATGAGATAATGAATAATTTCAAAAAAGGGTTTTTTTTAGAGATTGAAATAATAAAGACTGGGCTTGCTTGATGTAGTCAATTTATGAGAAACACATAAGACTTGAGTTTATTAAGAAAAGCTTTCTTACGCAAAAAAACTCAAAAATTTTGGATAAAGTTATAACCCACGAAAAGCGTTTTGCTCCTAAAAATGATACTATATCTAATTCTGTTAGAGTCAAGAACGACGGTAAAGTTTCTGAAGAATCTAGCTAATCCATATAATCCTGCTAAATATTAACCATTAACGTGCCTTTCTCCTTGGTATGAGATCACCATTAATAAATCATCCTCATGTGGTATCTAATTTTCGTCATTGCAATTTGCATCGATGTGACTTATGTCCACTCTACCCATTTTATTTTAAAGAAACAGTTCTGAAAGTGGACATTTAATGTTTTTCTAGAGAAGTTAGGTGTTCGCAAACCGCATGAATACTACACTATTTGCTAAGTTACGACGTTGTTGTTGACGAACACTCGCAAATTACCTGAGCAGTATCGGAATTTTTAAACATAATCGCTGATTAGGCCAATCTACGAGTGCTAACACTGTTCGCTTACGTTCGCTTCATCTTTTGACATCAACCAACGCTCTGAAAAAAAGTAACAATAGACAAACTTATCTTATTTTTATTTGAAGATTTTAAATAAAACACAGCTAGTTTTGTTGTCTTGAATTTTACATTGCTATTAATTACTTATTATTTAAATTATGAAAAGTTAAATCTTTTTAAATATAAATAACAATAATACATAATGTAATAAAATCAGTTAATTTTTTATTCTACAACGTCAATTTCATCGCTTTCATTTTCGTTTTCGCTCATCTCTAGGCTAGAGGATCCATCAGTCGAATAACCTGGTAAATCATTATCATCACTACGCATATGAGATACTTGATGTCCATCGGAAGGCATAGTGGTACTAATAGGTTGTTTTTCTTGTCCACTTTTCAGATTTTCACGAGTATGCCGCCACTTCATCCGACGATTTTGAAACCACACTTTGACCTGCAAATTAAACGCGATTATTTTTAAAATTATTGGGGTCGTATTTAACTTAATGTAATAAATCTTTACTTGCGCATCCGTTAGGTTTAAACGAGCCGCCAATTTGCGTCGATCTGGTTTTGTAATGTATTTTTGCTGCTGAAATTGTATTTCCAAACCTTTTCTTTGAAGGTTACTGAAAACTGCTCTAGACCAGGATCTTTTTCTTTTGCCATTATTTAGATTTCGCACATTGCTAGCCGCGTTGTCAATGTTTCTGTTAGCATTGCCATTGTTAATATTTGTTGTATTATTCTTCGGTATTGTGTTGTTGTTGGTATTATTATTGTAAGCTAAATGATCACTGACATTAGGCCTTAGACTTGTAATGTTGGGCTGCACCATGGGCAGGTCAAATTGAAATGGCGTTTTTGATTGAAAGCGACTCGTTGAAGTGGGAACGTAAGGTTGTGTGCTGAGCTTGGTTGTTGTAAATTGCAATGGTTTCATACTACACAGGGGGGCTACTAGAGAAGAAAGCACAAAGCTAGGCGAATGTGAGAGTGTTTGAAGAGAAACTGGTGCCTTTGAATGAATTATTGGATTCTGAAATTTTATGCACGAGTAGGATACGGGTACTGAAAATATATAATTAAATCAACTTGTGAAAAAACATGCTTTAATAAAAACAAAAACTAAAAAAACCAAAGAAAACAGAAACGAAAATTGCGATACAAGAATAATTTTTTGGGGCGAGATGAAATGTGTTATTTGTCGAACTTATCTCATCCTAGGGGTAATATAAAGAAAATTGAGCCATCCAAAAATCTCAAAAGTCTATTATTCATAAATAGGTACAAAAAATATCGTTTAAACTCAGAATTTATATTAAAAGTGCAATGATAACTCTTTATCGGTTTCTTCAGTTCTATCCAAGTCATTCCGGTCATGACGATCATGAACGCAGTGGACGCCCAACGGAAGCGACCACTTTACAAAGCGTAAAAAAATCCTGGAAATTATTCTCGATAATCGAAAAATTAAATTGTAAGGACTATTATATCTTGAAGATATCGAAATTCGTGAGAGCTATTTTCCACTAACAAGTCAGCAGTTACAAAAGCAAAATGGCACGGATTCAACCGCCTCGTAGAGCCTATCGCGTTGCAAGTCTCAAAGAGATAATCCAGGAACAAGATTTGGATAAAACGGGTATATGAAAGATACATCTTTCTAATAAAAAGTTGTCGAAACTATCGAAGTGTTGGACTATTGGTATAACTTTTGAAGCATGTCAATGAATATTGTCGGAATTCGCAAAAGCGAAAATATTCTTTTACTGAGTTCCGCGAATTGATGTTTGATGTATTATATATTCCGTTCACTAAGAGTAGTAAAATTATTCCATTCTTTCATACACATTATGATATCTCTGTTAGTGGGCTTAATTTTTTTTCGTCCTCATAAGATACTGGATATTTAGAACACGTTTCAAGCCTGACATACATGCATGTTTTCTTCTTCTAACTGTTTTCTTTTTCTGTTCCAGAGGCTAAAGCAACGAAATATATCAAATCAAAATGTATTTATTGTCCAAATGTAAATTCCAGCTAAATATCCATCTGCGAAAAACCAATGTGTCCTTCTGAGTCCCAAACGGAGCAAAGTCAAAATAGAACTGTGCGACGAGTGGGGCAGTGAACACAATTTTTCTTTTAATTTAACGTTCCTAATAAAAAAATATTAACCATATACCATTCATTGTATTTTCGATCATAAAGAACGTTTGTTTAATAGTTACCTTTCCGAATAGGACTTTAATTTAAACTATTAAGAACGTAATGTGCACTTTTACATATTACTGGCGTTCATATTCAAATTATTTTCTAATAATAGTTTAAACAAAACATCGCCCATTCGACTGTTTTAAAGTTATTGTATAATAAATGTCTTTTATTTAAATTCTTAATTTAAACTATAATTAATTAACGGATGTTTCATTACGAATTCGCAATGTGAGAACGTTCTCACGTACTGCGAAAAGAGTCCATCGTGCCAACAGAATCTAAAGCAGTTCACAACAGACAATGCAGATGGACAAACGGACAGGTCTAAGTCGATTCAGAATTTGATGCCGATCAAGAATATATATGTTTTGTGGAGTCTCTAAAGCTTTCTTATGGGCATTGAAACGTTTTGATAAAATGTATGTACCCCACATCCTTCAGTGATTGGTATAAAAATGAATGTAAAAAAGATAAGAGCCTTTCAAGTGAAGATTTAATACGTATTCCATTTATGCAATCGTACGGGATATCTTAACGTTTAGTTTGCTCACCTCTACATTGAATTCAACAACTGCTACATGTCTGCTAGACCAATCCGCAGGACACGGGCCCTCCAGAAATCCCAAAACTTCTTCTGTGTTTGAAGTCCCATAAAACTTATCAGGCTGCAAGGTTCATTTAAGGTAGTAAGCAAAATTTTCCACTTTCCCCATACCGTTTCTGCATCAATTTCCAGATCTGTCTCTTGAAGGATTAATTCGTCTGGTCCGTCGTTTAAGATATTTGGCTCTCCATAAGTAATGTTTACTTGAATTAATGTTGACTCAAAAATTTCTGAATTTCGAAAATGTTAAATTTTCCGTTGCGCAGATCCTTTGTAGCTTTATTTAAATTGTTTTATCTAGAGGAATCGTACTGTTTTGTTACTGTTCTCTTAATCTACTCTTGCTAGTGATGATTTGCCTTATTCAGGGAGTAAATTGAAACCAGCCAGGTGAATAAGACTTGTGATATCTTCTACCATATCGTCAATTTTAGAACGGCTTTGCAAATTCAGATTAAGGTGTAAATTGTCATCGAGACGGTTTCTAAAGTTTCTAATATCAGTTTTACGATGGATGATATTCATACATATCTACATAAATATACATATATATATAAATTTAACGGCGAGATATTGAAGAGTCCTGTTGAAATTGATAATCAGGAGAGAGTGATTAGAACTAGGGCCATCACTGTCATAAATGCGAAGTATATTAGCGGAAATGCCAGGGTAAGATGAAATTCAGCAAGTCAGGAATTTTGTCTTGTATATGGGCAGAACAAAATAGCTGTCATTGCGAATGTATTTGTAAAGCACCCTTCCTCTTCAATTTAGTAGTCTAAATCCCTGCTATAAGTCCCCGGGATTAAAGTCACCTCCTACAAACTTTGCTTTCAATTGCCTGAATATACTCGTTGCATAAAACGGGAAGGAAAATAAATCAAGAATTCAAGAAGCTTGTAAAAATGGTTTTCTGAAAATATTTGAAGTTTTGTGTCTAATAGTGGAATGCGGAATCAACATGAGCTCAATCTTCAGAATGATTCGCAGTTATTGAGTTATATTTGTTAATTGTAAATTAAGAATGATTGTCGAAATGACTCTATGATATGAGAAAAATGTCGATAAAACTTTTATGAAGAAAACATGAGAAATATTATATACGCTATATTACGCTAGACCCATACAGCCTTGTCATAGAGACAGTTCTTATTTTTGCCACAGAATACAAAAATTATACTCTGTTTTTATGTGAGCTTACTATTATGGAGCTGTATATTAAAAATTAGACCTCTGCCCAAGATTTCAAAAATTGCGGTACATGTTTAAAATTCAGCACAGTCGATTTTATATCGAATTGCTGTTTTCTAGAGTAGGATTCAAAAGTAGTATGTGGTCCAAATTTTGTACAGTTAATTTTTATATCGAATTACTACTATTGATCAACTTTCCTACGATATTGAAACTTAAATTTTTCTGCCTTAAAAAACAAAGATTTTCGTAAAAATCGTTATATAAGCTAGGAGCCAAAAATAGGCATGGATAGTTAAAATTTGGTACAGTGGACTTTTTTTGCACCACATGTGGTGCAGGGTATAAACAGCGATTCGGAGACTTGTTTGCGTAGTTTAGAGACTAAGAGCGTCATATTGACAAGAGTGTTTGTCATCTCAACATGCTTTCACACATCACATACTGAATAGTTAAAAAGGAATTAGGATTTTTCAATAAGTCGGCGTATTGGTAATTAGGAAAATTATTATTACCATTACACATACCAATATTATGTGCAGTTGAGCGCTGTTTATTAAACAAAGAGAATTCTTCTTGACTAAAACAAAAGTTGTTATTATGCTTACTTTGTGTTGATCTGCACGGAGTAGAATTTTGAAGTTCGTTTTTAAAAAGTTGCTGGTATAAAGAACAACTTTTACAATTGGCCGAATGATTTTGCATACAATTAAAACAAGTTGGAGAGGAATGGTTACTTTTAATACAGGATATAGTTAAGTGATCCAAGCCACTTCTAACACATTTGATTTGTTTTGTTTTGTGCAATTGAAAAAGATGACAGTACTGATGAAGATGTCTTTGCTTTTTAAATGACAACAGTGTTAAGAAATTATTTAGCTTCGCAAGTCTTTTTGTTATATGCACCCAGTTCCAGATCTACATAAAGCATTAGCAGTGGATCTTTAGTAAATCTACGATACGCAGTGCTAAAGACACTGAGCAGTTTGAGCCTCAGCTTGGAGTACTATAAAATAGGTTTTTCAATAGCATTCGTTGTTTTGTTTCCTATTTAATTTGATAGGTGTAAAATTGACTCTTTTGTCACACAAATAGTTAGGTTGCTTCCTGTAGTAACCGATAGATGTCGTCAATATTTTAATTTGACAGTCTTTCACGGTTTAGTAATTAAACTCATTAGTAACAACAACCGTTGCAAAATCCGTTATAGTTCGTTTTATATAACTTAGGCAAGGAATTACAATAAGTGAACGCTTTGGAGATATTGCCACTTCATTACTACTTCTACTACTCTGTTAGTATCACTATCATTAATAATATTGTTTTCATCAGAACTTAGAAACAAAAAACGAGTAGATTTAGAATTTCTGTCAACATCTCTTAAACGAGCTCGACTTGCTATAGAGTTATTTTGTACAATTTATAAAAATTGTACGCATCTTTTGTTATTATTATAAAACTATTGTGCTTATGTTTGCTCTGGCGGATTACTGATGGCAACTGCTAATCCATTGTATTATTATCTTGATTCGAATCTCCCAAAAAAAGCTAGCGTAGTTCTAGGGAATTATTCGTATTTTACAACTATTGCCATTACCCAAACCACTTTTTGGACAACGCAGTAAGAGCAAGCAGAATAAAAATGTTCCGGTAACGAGTTTTAATTCTAATAATTTTCAATATCAGAATGAAAAAATAGTTCAACTTGGCGGAAGACAGTCGAATGGCGACGTTTCCGCAAAGTCTTTTAAGGAACTTTGTGATACCTAAAATTCAACACAATTATCTCCACACCATATTAAAACAATTAATTAAGATTGCCCATACAGCACTCGTAGGTGCTACAGCCGATAATTGAAAGCAATAAGTGAAGATGGAATAATTTATAAAATATATCTAACCGTACTTCTTCCCGGGCAACACAATTTTCTTATACTACGTAGGAAACTACACAATACAGCAATCGAATTTCTTATATTCTAGTTGAAAAAAATGGAGAAAAATGAATCAAAAATTGGCGGACTTCGCCGGAAAAAGTTAACTTTGTTTGATAACT